GACTTTGACGGAGTCTCGTCTCGTCTCTTTTTTCTTTCTTCTATTTACATTCGGCGATGCATACAAAGCAAAAGAAAAGGACGAAGGATGAGAGGGCACTCACTCACACACCCATCGTAAAATATTTATTTGATGATTGCCCTGTCCCTCCCATATCCGAGTTACTTTTCATTTTTTCGTTTTTTGTTTCGCTTCTTTATATTGTATTTTTCTGCTACGTTTTTTTTCATTGTATTTTTCTTCGAAAGATTTGCGAGGTTCTTCGCTAAATTGCGTTCTGAACGCCAGAGCTGCGTTAAGTCAGAAGTCGATCAAGTGTGGGCATCGCATCGCATCGCATATGCGTTACGTCTAATAGGTACCTATATTCGGATACAGTACAGTGCGTTTCGCGACTGCAATTGTGTTGAGTGCTCAGGCGATCAATGGCTGCTGGGTGATGGGGGGAATGGTAATCGAAAAGCGATCAATATCGTCAGAATAATCATGTTGGATCGTTATCGAGCGGACAAGAAGAAGGAATTATTTACGAATTTATTAAAAATAGTTAGATGACTTTCCAAAGGGCTTTCATATAGGTTTCATTGAAGTTTTACTTGTAAACGATTTTCAAGACTCCAAAAAGTCGTTGAAGTTCTTTAAAGTCTCCTATCGAAGTGCTAAGAGTCTGCTATCGAATGGTTAAAAGTCATCTGCTATCAGCACACAAAACAGTGCAGTGCCACAAGAAATTTGTGACCGACCGACCGTCCTTGAAAGTTTGTTTGCTTTTTGTGATTACAGGGCCACTTACCACATAAGCGCTCTACAGCCATGAAGCGCACTGTACTTGTGTTTCGTTTTATGCAGCGAGTGGTATCTTGTGCAAGTTCCTACCCCGCCCCCCGCCTCCTGCTCCTCCTCCTTGGTAGGGATAGGGCCGAGGGGGGGGGAACCAGTCACCTGCCATTGAGGAGGAGCTTATATGTGGGCGAAAAATGGAAATAAAAATTCGTTTTGCAGATTCTGTTTGGTCGATTTTCTTTATTTGCCTTTGTTTGGTTTCGTTTCGCATTGTTTCTACCGACAAAACATTCAAGTGGAAATCCTTTATTGAGTGGAAAACACATGCGAGCATTTCTATTTCCATTCCTATTCCTATTCCAGCATTTGCCCTTCTCTCCTCTGCGCATCTCTCGCTTTCGGAATTAAAAATTCTACTATTTTTGTTTGTTGCATTTTGCATGCAAAATTTGTTTTCAGATGTGGCCCATTGTTTCCGCCACTCATTGTCCATCGTCACACAAACAACCTTTAGAGACAGGACAGGACAGGACAAGAGAGGACCGGACAGGACAAGAGAGGACTAGGGGCAGGGAAAGAGACGGAGACGGAGATAGAGCCAGGACTCTCTCAATCGCCTGGGCTTCTGTTTTCTGCTGTTGCTGTTCCTCGCTTTTGTTTCCCTTTCTTTCCTTTCAATTGCATTTCGGCAAAGCAAATTTGCATGCACACAAGCGCCCCACCTCCTGCCAACCTCCCCCTGTGTGCATATGTTGCGGTTCACATTCGCCCATTGTCCATCCAATCATCATCACCATCCGCCCATAGCCCATCATCATCGCACTCATCTTCATTAGGAGGCAGCAGCCAGCAGCCAGCAGGCAGCAGCCAGCAGCCAGCCATCTCCCTTGCGCATTCCTTTCCCTTCAATTATATAGGGATTATTAGTGTCCCCTAATTTGTCAGTCGAAATTTTTGGATCCTTCAGACAAAAGATATTGCCCCAAAGCGGAGATTTTAAAATTTTCAAACAATATTAAATTTAAGAGTTGTTAGAAGTGCTTACAATTTTATTGATATATTTTATGCACATGCATAAGAAATAGTTAATTCACTTGACAAAATTACATATATTTGAACAAATATTTATCAGAATTATATAGAGTTTATGGGAAGTAAATATTCAGCCTCAATTTTTGGCATATAATAAAATAGATAATAGTTTGTAGAATTAAAAAAAATTCCAGTTTTTGAAGTTTTGTATACCTGTATTTCGCTATTTCATATGGCGATCAGATCCCAAAGGAACTTGGGAATATTAATCTATTTTTATTGAATTACAAAATTGTAGCCTTGGATGAATCCTACACCAAAAGTAATGATTCAAGCTAGAGCAACGTTTGAAAAAAGAATATTATATGTAGGTACATATATATTTTTAGCATGAAAAGGATGCTAGAAAGTAAAAAAAAAACATCACACAATTAATGTATTTCTTTTAACAACACAAAAAAAAACCCCTTAATACCCTCTGAAAGGGATTCATATTCATTGTAAGTATGCAGAACATTCAGAGCCACTATATACATACATTAATTATTCATATACAGACATATATTATATGTAATTATATTGTAGCCATAGAAACAATACAGAAGCATCAGCATTTTTATATTTGTGTCCTGGAAAAAGTGAAAATATGAAAATGTGGTGGAAAAAAAGAAACGAAATGAAACGAAACGAAACGAAAGGAAAGGACACACATCAATCAGCCTGATTAATTACAAGTAATTAAAGTTTAATTAAGAGAAGTACCGCCCATACAGCAAAAAAGGCCACCCCTACCCACCTCCTCGCCACCTGCTTTCAAGGTTGCATGTGTGTGTGTGTGTGTGTGTGTGTGTGTGTGTACTCAAAATAAATGCAAATATTTATTTCCCATTTAAATGGTAGAAAATCCCCACAAAAGTCACAAAATAGAAGCAACGCCACTAGCGTGAAGAAGAGTGCTGTGGGGCAGGGCAGTGTGGCATCAAAATGGTGACGAAAAGTAGTGCTGCTGCTTGTGTTGCTGCTGTTGCTGCTGTTGCAACAATTCCTGTTTGTCTGTTTAATTAAAGCAATATGTGGCCTCCAGGAATGCTGGGTTAATTGACTCATCACTTATACGACAAACGGAGCACAAACAAACAGGACACCGACAGGCACAACAGCCACGACGGACATGCACCCACTCCGACTCCGGCTCCCACTCCTCACAGCAACAGCAAAAGAGCGAAAGAGAAAGCGCTACAGAAGCAACCCAAAATGGGGAACAGCACAGAGCTGAGCAGAGCAGAGCAGCGCAGCGCAGCCAGCGTCAACGCCACCGTCAATGACAGCTGGGTGGAGGGGGGTGGTGTGGGCGTGGCCATAACGCCTTGGACCGAACATATTTTGGCCACTATTTGCGCAGGGAGGGGTTTCAGCCAATGGCAGCTGTGGATTCCGTTTCATGTGAACGCCCACACGAATAGGTTACAGTTCAACAGTAGACGGACTTGCCATGAACTCCATCGACAGTTCGCGGAAGAAGAGCAGCACATAGCCTACCAGCCTTTTGTTTCTGGGTCGATATTATTCTTTATTTTCCTTTATTTTATTTTGGAATTATCGAAATTATTTTTCTGTATTTATTCTTAGATTAGCCGTTAGATCAGTTAATTTGAAAAACCGCGGGCTTATTATATCATGCGATAAATTGTATCGAACCTAAAAAGCATTGTATCCTTTTTACACCGCCGCGAGTTTCCTATCGTTATCGATATCCAGCAGCATCCTTATGGCAAATGATACAAATATTTTTAACTATTTTTTTTTAATAATTTATGTACATTTTTACCTTTTCCCTCAGCCATAAGTTTAACGCGCCAAAATTGCATATTTAAATTGCTAGTTTTTTGTTGTTATTAAACTGCGTCTCCGGCAAGACGCAAAGCACATGACACAGTCCTAGTGGAAACAGTCGATTAGGTGGCGCCATCTAGAGGGGAGCGAGCATACTTAAGGGCCGCATCCATCACTCAGCCCATCAACACAACACTACTTTTATGTATATTTTGACGTCGAAAATGAGTTGAAGGTGTATTTACGGTATATCTGTATGTAACGGTATTTTTAATCAATTTCATCAATCTATTAAATTTAATTTTTAACGGTTCTTCCCTGCATCATTTATTTCAATGGATTGCGTTTATATCCTTGTCAATAATGCACATTCAAACTTAGGCGCTCAGCTCTAGTATCTAATGATATTATCGATAGTCTGATGTCTGGTGGCGCTTCTATGTGGCTTAAATGAAAAACAAGCGGCCAAAATTGTATGAAATTTACACGTTTCCCCACTAGGTGTCGCTTTTGGGAATTACATACAAATGTAGTTGTAAGGAAAATTAATGGAAATTGTGGTTTACCGGTTTTGTTTAAATCTTATATTAAAAACAATCCAACAAAAATTAGATATTAAAATTAATCAGTCCTGTAGCAAATTGATTTATAGATTGGGTAAAATTATGGGTTTAGAGCTGACCAGAGACAGAGACCAAGAATAGGTATTAGGATCCAGAAATATATATGTATGCATGAATATGTTTAAAACATGTCAATTTGAGAAAAGATCTTTATTAATGACGTTTTATCTTTATATCATCTTCATATTAAATTAACGAAATGGGGTATACAAATGCCTATACACGCATAATATCTTCAAATACCACCATCATTGCGACTGTGTTTTTTGTTGAACTATTTTGTTTAACCCTTGTTTTAGTCAAAATACAATAAAAGCATTGACTAAAAACTAACCAATTTTGTAGAAAATTTATTCATCAATGGTCAAAAATTATGTGCGCAGAACTAAGGGTTTTACTTAACCAGAATTATTCAACGGAATATAAAAATTTAGCAATATGAACGACTATCCTCGTTCGTTTTTTTGTGTGACCAATTTCGCTAAGTCCTTTTTTGTTTGAACTATTTCGCTAAACCCTCTTTTTAGAAAAGATCCAATGAAAGCATGTATTTAGAGTAAGCCAGTTAAGTAAAAAAATGATTCGTAAATCGTATAGAATTATCTGGGCATGGCAAAATGTTTTATCCAGCTAATAATATTCCACGGAATATCAAAAGCGAGGAATTTGTATAATATAACTTGAATTCTTTCTGAGTGTCAGACCGGTGCGCGGTCACACTGGTCACAACAAGCACTGCAACAAAATAAACTCGAAAACAATTGAATAATCAACAATGTGGCAGGTAAACAATGCGTGGAGAGCCGCCGCCTAGCAGGGGAGAGCTGCAATTGTACCAAGAACAATGATGGCCAGCGCACCACCAACTCAGACTACAGCAGCCACAACGGTGGCATATGACGCCACCCAGCAGAGGCATGATCGACGAGAGCTGAGGCAACAGCAAGTGGTTGCCACCAGCTTGCTCACGGAGCTGCGACGCGCCACCAACTACTGGTTCCAAGCGAAGAACGATGATGGCTTCCAGATGCTGGTCCAGACATGTTCCCAGATCTTGCAACACGGGCTGGTGGTAAGCATAGCGACAGAGAGAGAGAGAGAGAGTGTGTGTGTGTGTCGTGCAATGACGAATGCTCATGCAATTTTTTATCAGTTGCAGCCGCAGCCTGGCAGCGGGGAGCTGCAGCGTCTCGCCGATGACTTTGAGTTTTTGCTCACCAGCGAGGAGAAGATGAAGCTGCAGCAGCCACCTTATCGCCGCTGGAGCGAGCAGCAGCCACATCAGTCGCCGCGGAGTGTCGATGAGTTTTTCCGCCTGTGGATTACTCGATGCCTGCAGGCGCGCTGCCTGTCTCAGTGCTTGCAGTCACTGGTGGCCGACAAGGAGCTGTTGGACTGCTACTATCAGCGAGAGGTAGCCTTTCTGCGCCACTTGGGGCATGCCAATACGCTGTTTGTGTGCCTCACCGCGGTGCAGCTCAACCAAAGCAGCCTCCTCAGCCAGCTGGAGGTGCACAGGCAGCTGCGCCATCGACGCACCTGCTCGCAGCCGAACTTTAGCATCTCGCCGCGTCTGCAGGTGGTGCCGGAGGAGAAGCTGCATCCGCATTTGCATCTGCAACAGCGGCTGCCCAGGCTGAGACGCTGCAAGAGTCTGCCCAATCTGTACCACGAGGACGAGGAGCAAGAAGCGGCCCGTCGGCGCTGCCAGACCTACAGCAGTCCCCGCACAAACAGAACGGCTGCCGATGCTAACATGCTGCCCTCCACTTCGGCGGGCAGCTTCCACAGCAGTTTGAGCCGCTCTAGCACCAGCACGTCCAGCACCAGTCCGCGGCGCATCGAACTGATCAATTGCGATGATATTAAGATCTGGACAGATCAAACAGGCAGCCAACCAGCGGAGATTCCCCAAACCCAGTCGCAGTCCCGATCCCAGTGCAGCATCAGGGCCTCGCCGTTCAACAACTTCCTAACGAATCTCTTTGGCTCCCCGCCTGTGTATACGAGCTGGTTCAATCGCGGCCTGGGGGAGGATCTGAACGGCCTAGGCGGCGGCGTCCTGGACAGCTTCCTCCCAGTCAACGGCAGGAAGCTGAAGAAGAAGCAGACCCTCTTCGAGGGCGTCAGCATGCTGGATGAGGCAGCAGCGGCAGCAACCGTGGCATCTACCTCGAACTATAGCACCGCCCCGCTGGACATCGTTGGAATGGCGGATGGCAGCTACGGCGACGGCAGCCAGGCGACCAGCTCCAGTTCGGCCAGTGCCACGCCGGGGAGCACCCTGAGCAGCGACAAGATGGACCAGCAGTCGCTGGCCACCTTTCTGCAAATGTCCCGCTACACGCACAACAACACGGACCTGGAGAAGGAGAACGCCCACTTTCGCATATCAGAGGCCTGCATCACGGCCATCGAGCACGTGAAATGGAGCCGCCGGAAGGACGTGGCCAAGCCCAGTGCCGCCGCCTTCTCAACGGAACCCGATCTGATGCCGTACGTGGAGCAGATGGGCTCTCTGGAAGGCGGTCATAGCAGCCACAGTGCCGAGGCCGTGGGCTTGCAGCTCATCTCCCGCTTCAACGACCAGCAACTGCCGAGGGTGGGGCACCTCAAGTGGCTAGTCTCGGAGCAGGACACGCCGCAGCAGCTGCTGCCGATGCCCAAGCAGGAGCAGGACAAGGAGAAGACCGCCGCCGCCAGCATGACGCGCGGCACCAAGACCTGGGCCCCGCCCCGCCAGCAAATCATATTTACCGAGCATCCGAGCGTCAGCCGCTCCCAGCAGCTCAGTCGCCAGGGGAACCGGTGTGCCGGGTGCGGGATGCGAGTGGCACGCCAATACCAGCATCATTTCCGGTACTGCAGCTACCTGGGCAAGTACTTGTGCACGGGCTGTCATCGCAATCAGATCTCGGCCATACCCGCCAAGATCCTGCAGAACTGGGACTTTCGCTGCTATCCGGTATCCTCGTTCGCCTACCGCCTCATCGAGCAGATGTACACGTTTCCGCTGTTCCATGTGCCCGACCTGAATGCACAGCTCTATTCAAAGCACAAAGACCTGGCCAAAGCGCGTCGCCGCCGCATCCAACTGCAGTCGGTCAAGGAATTCATTGGCAACTGTCGCTTTGCAACGAGGTAAGTGGATCGGATGCTTCGGATCGAGCAATAAAACATAATGTAAACGTTTCTCCTCCGCCAGGGAACAGGCATTTTTCAATGCCATACCACTGCACCTCACCCAGGATACGGACATGTGGTCCATGTGCGATTTTGTGGATGTGCAAAACAGCAGCATGAGCCGCTCCATCAAGGAATTGATCCTGTTGAGCGAGCAGCATGTGCACAACTGTGTGGTAAGTGTGATCCGCTGATCCGATCTTTCCCCCTGGCTATATCTCTTGCATCCTCTTCTCCTGCAGCTCTGTGTGGGCCGGGCCTTTGTGTGTGAATACTGCAAGAGCAACGAGTTCCTCTATCCCTGGCAGCGGAAGATTGAACGCTGCGTGGGATGCGGCACGTGCTCCCATTACAGCTGCTGGAGGGCCAAACGCAGCGAGCCGTGTCCCCGCTGTGCCCGGCTCCAGGCCAGGGCCAGTTAGCCCCCAAGTCTGTGTATATCTATCAGTGTATGCATATGTATATCCTTGACCTGTATATAATCGTTTAAATTACCAAAACTGTTATGAAAATTGTGTACCTCAGGCGATGCGATGGAAGGAGAGCGGAGAACCCATGTTGATTTTATACATATATACGATACGAATATTTATTGTACACCTGCACATACAATATGATTAAAATATGTGCATATATTTTTTAACTCAACTTATGTCAAAAGCATGCCAATCCGAGAAAAAGTTAATTAGGTTTCAAAGCAGCTGGGAAAACAGTAATTGCATATTAAATATAGGGTATTTCGTATCTCCATACTCCATATACATATATATGTATGCATGCTGTTGATATAAAGGAAATGCGTAGTTACCGTGTAGTTACCATGTAAAATAATGTACATTTCTGTTGATCCTTTTAGTCGAAACTTATTTTATAAACAAATCAAGAAAAGATAATCCTTAAAGTTAACCAATCGTGTTGAAAATTGATTCATAAATTGGACATAATAGTGTTTTCGTGGCTGAAGAACCTAGCTAGCGAGTAAAATTAAACCGACAATCAAAATTGAGCATTAGCAACGAGTACTCACTTACGTCTTTTTTGTTTGACCATTTTCGCTAAAACCTCTTTTTGCGCAAAATGCAATAAAAGCAAGTGTTAAAAATAATCCAGTCAATTAGAAAATAAGTTCATTAATCGCATAAAATTATGTGGGCATGGCAAAATGTCTTATCTAGCTAGTAATATTCGACGGAATATCAAAATTGAACAATAGGAACGACCACCCTCTTTGGTTTTTTTTGTTCGACCATTTCCGCTAAAACATCTTTTTACGCAAAATGCAATAAAAGCAAGTGTTTAAAACAAACCGATCAATTAGAAAATAGGTTCATTAATTGGATAAATTTATGTGGGCATGGCTAAATGTTCTATCTAGCTAATAATATTCCACGGAATATCAAAATCGAGGAATATGCATAATAGAACTTGAATTCGTCAGTATATTTACGGTATATTTTTAAAATGAGACAGTATATAGTGGTATATTTCTTGGTCGGACGGTATCGATATCAATAAATCCGGTATATATCCACTGGTCGACGAAAACAAGAAGTAAACTCCACTAAGTTCACGCTGAAACGAGGCAAACCTACCACCCCACCTCTTTTTCGCCAGTAAATAAATATGATGGACGGTCTCTCAAATTGAATATAATTGTCGTATTTCTATATATGTTTAATGCATGTTCCACGCGTATTTGCAGTGCAATGCGTTAGATCTTGTTTTTGTGTACATATACATGAGTGCGAGTGTGTGAATTTCTGCCAAAGAAGAAGTGCAAGGAGCAACAGTGAAACGAAACGAGAGCGCGCGTGTCAAAGTCAAAAGTTTTGCATTAATTAATACTGTTGATTGTTGGTGCTGCTGCTACTACTGCCGCTGATACTGTCTGGTGTCTGGTGGTGGGGTGATTTCTTAAAGTGGGATGCGCAGGGCGACAGAAGTGCAGAAGTAAATCAACAGGTAAATATACTTATACATTATACCAACAAAAAAAATGGGAGATGAGACTGCTGCTTCCGTCTCGTCTCCCTCTCTTCGCGCTTATCCATACACAAACATGCGCGAAATTAACTGTAGTTGTGTGTGCATACGCTTGTGTGCGAGAGTAGCACAGTTATTAAAAATGTCTGTCGCCGCAAAAGCAACAACGCAACGCCGGGCCCGGCCGCTGATTCAAAAACGGTTATCCCCGTCCCTCCCACACCCCATCAGTCGCTATATGGTATTTGTTCTGCTCTTCCCGCAATCAACATCATACCCGTTTCTCAACCAAGTCACCGCCATCCCGGCTCACATTCACGTGTGCAGCAGCAGCGCCGCCGCTGTGTCTGTGTGTGTGTGTGTGTGTGCGTGCGAAGGTCGGTATCACTGTATGGGTGTGCGACCCTGCACTTGGAGCGAAAACATTTTATTGATTTGCTTCCATAATTCTCTTCTTCTTCTCTTCTCTTCTATTCTATTCTGGTTCCTGCTTCTGGTTCAGTTCCTGCTGCTGCTACTCTGCCACCAAAGAGCAAACACACACACACACCCAAACCCCACACCCACACGTTGAACAGCTGGTGCAGGGTATATCCAATCGAGAAGGTGAGGCCTTGCGACAGACAGGGGACTGGCCCACACTCCCAGCCCCACCTGGAACGCACTTGAACGCAACGCTCGTCTGCATTGATAAGTTTGGTCGATGGCACCACCTCCGGCCCGGCTCCTGTTGCTTCCTTTTTCTGCTCGTCGTTGGCCCGTCAACGTTGACTAGCCCATATATGCGGGGCATAGCATAGCTTGTTAGCCGGATAACCGTAGTCGCTTGATGGATGGATGAGGTCATAGTTGGCTAAAAAAAAATACTTAGCCACACTTGTAGTCCTGTTCTATTTCCGTGGATCCCACCGCAAACACACACAAACACACAGCCAGCAGATGAGCTCTCTCTGTATCAGTGTCTGACCGACCTCATTCTCATTCCATCAGTGGTAGCCGCAGTCAATCGGTCAATGCAATTACTTAAGTTCTTTTATTTATTACGACCCCCATTCCACTCCATTCCATGACATACTATTTGCTGATTCTACAATGTCGTAGAGGTGGTCTGGCATCATCGTCTGGCGATAAGGTTGCGAGATATTCCGCTCGAGATACGACCGCAACTACTAAGTGAAATTGCCAACGTTTCGTTTGACACGATCCCACATTCAGATACAGATACAAATACAACTCTAGATCATCCATCAAACCCCATTCGTTCTTTAAGGCCTCCTCCTCCACATCTGACACTGACATCTAATGGCAGATTCCATTTGTGAAGTGTGGGGCTCTCCGCCACTTGAGTCTCTCGCTTCGTTAATTTTCCACCCAAAACCGATGCCTTATCGATGGTCCTCCTCTATTGATAAGGGAGGGGGACTGTGGCGAGGAGAGAGAGAAAGCGTTATGCAAATTATATGCCGAAGTGATAACAAATGGTGCTCGGCGGGACGCTATAAATACATTTCACTTTTGTTTACCCACCATTAGTTGTGTAATTTTATGCAGATAATAAACGTGAGCGCGTAATGTGAGTGATAAGAGTTCTCTCTCTCTCTCTCGCTCTCTCGCTCGAGGTCAGGAACGGAGGCAATGGAATCTATCTAGACTTTGGACGAGGTAAGGAATTGCGTGGATATTTCGCCTTGCGTTTTAAACCATATCTGTAATCAGTCTAAATTTCTTTCAGCGATCGGCCAAAAAGGATAAGAATTGTGGAATGTTCGGACTCTAAAAGGATACAAAGTTCAACGAGGGCTCAAAGCACAAAAAAAACAACATTTATACAGTGAGAAACAAACAGATGAGAGAACGTGCCAAAAAGCGTCCAAATATCATATAAATCTTGGATAAGATTACAGGAAAACAACACCTAAACAAGCTTCAAAGATAATATGAATTAACCACACTCTCTCTCCCTCTCCCTCTCGCTCCCGCTCTCGGCAGCTTCTTCGACACGCTGTGAAGTTGCAAAAACCATCAAAAGCGCACAAATCAAATCAAAGCTCTAAAGAACTTTGCCTAAAAAAGTTGGATAAGATAAGAGAGTTGGATTCTTTAATTTAGAAACTGTTTGCAGCGCACGAAAGATCGGATCTGGCCCCTGGGAGAGGGCAAAGATCAAGTGTGAGAAAAACGTCCATGATGGATGATTGATGACGTGCATTGGGTTTAACGATGACGACCACACAGGCGCAGGAGGAGAATGCAAAAAGTCGAGATAAGATATCAAATGTATGGAGTAAATGGAATGTTTGGAAGGCCAATGACCAATGAAAATCCATCATCAGGGTAGACGTATTTTTGCTGCTGAGTCAAGTGTTGTTCTGTTGGTTCTGGAAGCTTCTCGGCTTTCAGTTTTGGGCTCAGTTTTCAAATTGAATATCGTCTGTCAGAACAGAAAGAAACTCTTTTATGAAGCGGGCGGCCTTGTCTTGGACTGTCGAATTATCAGCACAATTCTATGGCCCTCTACTCTCTCCCATTACCCATAAGTGGGTTGTCGTAAAAGTAACAATCTGCCGTCCATGGGCTGGCCGGGACGGGCCGGGCCGGTCTCGTATCGGTTTCGTTTCCCATTAGCCGATAAGCCAACGTCTGACGATCGCTGATTCCGCGCGATTCCGTCGATTGACACTTGCACCAGTGGCTCGGTGGTCGGAGACGTTGCGGATTATAAAAGTGTCAATTAAAATCATATTTGGCTTTATTGCAGAGCACATATTAGCTGCCACGAGATCTGACCAGCACCGCCGTCTTTTTAATCTGTCTTAAAGCAATTCAAGAAGAGTTCATAAATCGCGTTCCATTTATGGCGATTCGCCAGCCACTAAATATTTAAAGCCGAACAATCGTCTGATCAAGTGAGTTATTTAGATGGCACTTTTGTGGAATAGTTGCCTCAATTAAGGGAACGATTTCAATTGTCTTTTATTACAAATTGAAAGACTTAACTGGCAGTTAAAGTGGCAATCGATCCATGCAAATTGTTTTGTAACGATGGGAATTTGTGCAAACAAGAGACCCGGACCCTACCCGGTTAATATTTCAAGAGCTGTACGGGAGGGGGGGGTGGAGCCGGAATGATAAAATAAAGACATTTCCTGGGCATTTTAATCTCACAAATGGCCAATCAATCGATGACACCTCCTCAAGGAGGTGTGCTGTGGGGAAGGGGGGGCCGTCACGCGAGGCGTTAAACATTTAATTGATTTTGTTGTTAGTTAAATATTTATAACAACACTGGCATGTCTCTTTATTTGCAGTACACCACCCATCATCGCTGTCATCATCTGAGACCCGAGAGCGATCCAGAGAAGGCTCCAGTGAAGGCAGCCTTAGAAGCATTTTCCGATACGCCACAGTCAATTAGAACAGTCGCCACCACGACGTCGCCGCCGAAAGCTTTTCTGTTGTCAGCCGAGCACTTGGACGACGCCAGCGCCGACGATCGCGGGCGTGTCTACAAGCTGAGGAAGAAGAAATACCCCAGCGGCGGGCCTCACATCACGTAGATACCGAAGAGGAGATAGGAGGAGCAGACGAGTTTGGTCGCTGGAGCGAGTGGAGTGTGAAGAGCGAGAGAGAGAGAGCGAGAGAAAGAACGAGGGAGTAAGACAGAGAGAAAGAGAGAGAGAGTGCTCTGCCAAGATGCCGGTGCAGTCGCCAATCGAGATCAGCAATCGGGCCATCGAGCATATTGATGATGTGGATCCCCTCGAATACCACGGCCATTGGGAGCCGGTGGGTGTGGCCCGTGTCCAAAACACGGGCACCTCGGCCATGGTGACTTTCAGCAAGCGAAAACAGCAGCCGTATATCATTGGCGGTGCCTTGGATACGAACATGTATGTCTTCGAGCAGTTGCACTTCCATTGGTCGGACTCGGACGAGTCGGGCTGCGAGCACACACTGGAGGGCATGAAGTACTCGATGGAAGCGCATGCCGTCCACTACAATGCCAAGTACAAGGACTTTGCCGAGGCCAAGAACAAACCGGACGGCCTCGCTGTGGTGGCCTTCTTCATTCAGGCATGCGGCGAAAAGGATTGTCCCGAATTCAAAAAGATCACCGAGGGCATACGCATTGTCCAAAAGATAAGCACGAGCGCATCGCTGGATTCCGGTGAGTCTACACGCAATATTCCCCCCCACGATATATCGTGTAAAACTAACCAAAGATTGAATCGATTCTACAGATTGCCTCTCGTGGATTGGTCTGCAGGAGCTGAGCAAACACTATTACACATACAAGGGCTCGCTGACAACGGCGCCGTACTTTGAGAGCGTCACATGGATTATCTACCGCACACCGATCTATGTGTCGCGGGGTCAGGTGAGTGAGGGTCTCCGTCCTGATAGTCGTATCTCTATTATTATTATACTATTTCCTTCTCTGTTCTATTTGGACAGGTGAGCGTCTTTCGCAACTTGCAATCGTGTCCCAAAGATGAATCCAAAAAGATAGTCAACAATTATCGCGAGATCCAGCGACCGCACAAGGATCCAGAGATCTTCTTTGCCCGCAACACAAACCTAAAGTCAAAATTATGATGTGCTTGCTGTGTGGCGATCGATCCGTACTCTCCGTCAAACGTCACACATTGCCACACCGAAACCCCGAAACCAAAAACGGAACCGAAACGATTCTCTTCTCTGTTTTTTGTTTCTGTTTCTGTTTTTCCTCGGCATCGGTCATTCCTTTTGTGAATCGTAATTAAACTTCAACTATATTTTATATATACATATATATGATCTATCGATGGTTGTCGTGTCTGTAAGCTTCTATATATATATATATATTTTTTTTTTGAATTTTGTTTTGATTGTTATTTTGCCTCATGTGTACATAGCGTTATATAAATAGTGGATATATATCAAGTAATTACAATTACGATACGTGTATGGATAAATCATTATAGTCGGAACACGCGGTTGCCTTGCATTAGATATTTCAGAGAAATATTTATCACACTCACACACACACAGACACATACACAACTACTTAAGACATCTTCTATCTATCCTATTATCTACATGTATTAATCCATCTATCGATCTTCTACAAAAGACAGAGAGATTGTGACATACGAAAATGAATATAAAACAACAAGAAACATCCTTACATTTAAGGGGAAAAAAGCAAATGTCTTTTTTGTACGCAATAACTGAATTTACTAAATATCTAATTAAAAATATATATGTAGTTATATATAGTTGTCATAGGATGTTAAGATCGTAAGTTTTTTCGAAGTACGACCTCTCTTTCTTTTTTGCCACTTCTTTCTCTTTCCCTCTGGGGTTTCGGTTGCGTCATTCCAGAAGCAGCGGCACCAAATGCTCTATAAACCATGCCTTGGATATGGCCAAGTGATCGCCTTCGATGCCCAGGAACTGTAGCTTTCCCTCTCGGAGCATACGGTCCAGGCCAAGCTGAAACGAAAGAGGAGCAAATCAGTGGAAAGCAGTGGAAAACAGATCGGGATGAAAGCCTCACATCTTGATAGACTTTGCTCTCGTTGAACGACTGGATGACCCGATCCTGTCCGGACGTATAGAACTGAAACCACTGCGATTCTTTTGGCTGGACAATCGTGTCATTGAGGAACATAACCATTACGAATCTGTGGAAGATTAGGGTTAGAATAGAGGTGCTCTCCACAGCGCTCCAGATCGATTACTCACTTTTTCAGCTTGTTTAGGTTCTCGACGTAGTTCTCGTTCAGATACAATTCGTTGTTGATGTCGGCCAGGAAGGTACTGCCGAGACGGTACTGGTTCTCGTGCAGTGGATCGTGCCAGTAGGTGGCCTGAACCAGTTCGGCCTGCACCCATCTGCGCGGGGGTATCAAGAGATTAGCTAGAGACCACAAGTGGAGCTTCGGCACTCACTCCTCGTAGGCGGCCACATTGAGAAGGCGGCTTATGTACTCGCAGGAGGTGGCTGTCAGCGTTGGGCACATGGGCAGGCCAAAGACGCCCTGGTGCTGGCCGCCGAGCGTGATCAGCGTGCGCATGGGCGGTTCGGGGCAGCGCTGGGCGACCGCACGCAGAAATTGGCCGCCCTGCGAGAAGCCAATGGCATTGTAACCCTCGACCAGACGCTCGTCCTGGGCCAAATGCTTGCAGACATACTCCACCTGCTCGTTGGGATGGATGAAGAACCCGCTCTCGTAGTCCAGCACCACGTTGCCGCCGATCTTCAGCGAACGGACGTACGTCCCATTCACATGCTCCTCAATCAGCGTCTTGATGGCACCCAAACTGAAGGGCAGGCAACAAGTATCGCCCATGCCGTGCCATAGCACCACGGGCAGCGCGCTCCTTGTTTTCGTCCCAAAGCCTACCACGAAATAGACAGCAGCTAAAAACACACTAAAAACTGCGGCTTTTTTGAGTCCGATATTCAGCTGAATAATGTTGAAGTTTATTATTCTTGGTCGCACCATTTTTGCAATTCAAAACAAAGCAAACATGAATTAGAGGTGTCAAACCATGGATGGCACTATCGATAGTGTCGATGTTTTGGTGCTAGTGGCTACTATCACTAACCATACAGTATAAATTTGTACTTTGCAGATTCCCGTCGGAAAGCGCGCGATTGACAATTGATTTGAAATATATGTAAAACCAATTCCATTTATATTTATGCATATTTATTTAAGTATATATATATATTTTCTTATATTGTATATTTAGATACATCATTGTTTTAGTTATAATAAACAAAAACGTCGAGAACCGACGGCGTTTGCATAATTTGTATAATTTATAATCAACCTGCTTAAGATAAGGAAATAAATGTGCAATTATATTATTATATATAGTCGAGAACCGACGGCGTTTGCATAATTTTTATAATTTATAATCAACCTGTTTAAAATAAGGAAATAAATGTGTAATTATATTATTGTAATATTTTATATTTTGTGGTATAAATCAAACAAATAACAGCTTTTATTTTGTTTCCCGCGCCCTAGTGTACCATACCCCCACCCCCTGCCCATTCTTCATTTATTTTGTGGCGGTAGGTCAGTCCATCAAAAGACCCGAAACAAGAACCAAACTCAAATTTCAGTTCTAGCGGCCAGCAATAGTAAACACACACACGCAAAGTACGTGAGAATGCATGGGCACCCATACACTAAAACATGCTGGTGGCAAAACAGATCAGACCTGAGAGAGTTCAAAAAATCTGAAAATACATACAATCACATATTTTTGTCGAAACATATTGCGTGTGTACTAACACATGCAAAGATGTTCTCTCTGCGCTCTCTCTCTCATGAAGACGTCACTCTGGGGTACGGATAGCGCAAGCCGGTGTGTGACACTTTCGTTGTATGAACTGGCACATCTATATACTGTATGGTTAGTGCTACTATCGATGGTTTTGCTACTCTTCACGATACTATCGAGCTCTTATCGGTCGCTGCCCCATCTCTACTTTGATTTTGAAAAGTGCAGTGGTGTTAACCGAAAAACTTGAATATCCCTTTATTCATTCATCAGAACACATAGCCAACGCATTGCGAAAGCTTCTGGTTAAGTGGGTGTTGTTGTAACACACAATGCGAGTGCCATGGTAAGGCATGTGACAATCTTCAAAAACGACACCTACACCTACGCCCACTGCTTAAATTTAGCGGTGTTGGACTGCTTAAGCCAAGAAAATTTTAAGTTAGGGCTGACAAAGTGAAAGCGCATGATGACCTTTTTTAAAAGTAGCACGATCGCATATAAATAGTTCAAGGTACAAACGTTGACAGGCAGGTCTGCTTTTTTGCCAAGAGAAAAAAAAGGCTTTTGGATCTTCAAATATGAAGATCGCTAAGCAATCAGCCCTGCCACCATATAAGATAAGCTATATAAAAAAAGGATTATTTTAATGTTGCGTGAAAAAAAGCCTTTAAAAGATTTTTCTAATGAGCCCGTCACTATTGTGTGTTTTATAAAAGGCCAAGGAAAAATTCCATTAAAAGTTGCCTCCGATACTTCGTGGTACGGGATTGTACTACTTTTGGGCTATCTTTAGCCGCTGCCCACACGGCTTCGTCTTTTCGTCAATGCCTTGGGCAGCTGCGTCGGTCCCAGAATCCAACAACAATAAACACAGCCGTTGTCGAGGCGCAGATTTAACTTACTTTTCGGTCCAAGATTCCAATGATAAAGTATGTACACAGTCCCTGGCGACGCGCAAATGGCGGTTCTGAGAAAGCAAAAAAAAAAGTCGTTGGGCATGGTAATACTGAATATATAGACGTTTTATCACTTCATGCAAGCGAAACGTTCCATCAGAATTCGCAGAGGTCTTCGGCTCTGGAGTCAACTTCGGCTGGGAAATCTCGTGAAAACTACTATTTAAAAATATTATTTTCTTTTGTGTTGAAAACCCAAGTAAAAATGCACAGGTCTCTTGTGCCTTTTGCATAGCCTAATTTGTTGGGGCTTTTGAATGTAGGCTGCCAGGATTTGATAGGATGCTAAGGATTTCATCTACCTGAGCATAACAACAAAATGTATGACTATTGCCATTTCTATTGATTTCATCACTAGTCTTAGTTGGTCTTCCCTGTGGCTTTCATATTACAATCTGTATTCGTTTCTTGTCCTTATTTTCCTGGCCTTGGATTCGCGTTCCATTCATTGAATTTGTTCTATCCATCTAACTTTATTCTGGCGGAATAAGGGATGCTATTAAACAGTGAAATCAGCGTTTGATGTTATTATAAAGGTGTGATTTTTAACCATTTAGTAAAACATGAACATATGTCTCTATGAATTGAGCTTTTTAGCCAAAATATATAGAATCTTACTCAGACTTGTTGTCCCTGCGATGTGCCACAACGTTTTTATAACAGCCTTACCATTTACAACCTTACCTCTTCAACCAGATCATAGGTATTATATCTTATCTCTTATAACTTCAGTTTGAAATACCCGTGGGATTCCCGTGGCCTATTCCGAGAATATTCCTTCACGTCCTTCACATTTGCCAATTGGTCGTACTCTCATCCGTAAGAATAAGCCACAAAGTGCATAAATAGTACTTTTGACTCTTGCATCTCTTGCATCTCTTGGATCTCTTGGGCCAACATGTATCAACATTACGATCTGACGGTTGAAAGAAACATTGCTGCCGTTCGCTTGGATTCTTTGAATGGTCTTATACCACTATTATGGAGACTTTGACCTTAATATGTTGGCCTTTTAACAAATGATTTTGATATATTTTTGGCTCTTTGATTGCAGTGGTTCGTCTGTAAGCTTTCGTTTTTTTTATGTACTTTGGAACGATTTAAAAGCATTAAGGAATTTTATTTAGTTGTAATTGTTAGCAATGTCTAACATGCCTTTATTTGGGGCCATGGATATCTGCCTAGGAAAGGGATCATTAGTTTGGACTCACATTTGGGCCTCTCGTTCCATTAGGAATGCTTTTGTCGAGATTCCCGAGCAGAACCGGATCCATATACCCATAACCGTGTGTACGTAGTACTTAAGTTTCCGGGCACGGATATACGACTTACTATAAGTATTATATATAGCTAGGTACATCTTTTGGGGATTATTTTAGACTGCACTTTTATTGCAAAACAAAAACCAACGAACAAAAAATGGAAACAGATGTGAACCAGTGGATAAAATGCACATTAAATGTCCGATATATACACTGCTATACATACATATATATATATATATATATATATTTATATATGCTTATGAGTATCTAGAGCACGCCATTTGCTGGCGCCACCCCCGCTGGCCCCACAGCCAGTCCTGCCCCCTGCTGCTGCTGTTGCTGCTGCTGCTGCTGCTGTTGGAGTTTACTGCTCTGCGAGAAGTCGATGCAGGCACCGGATGTGAGATCGATCTCCTCGGAGTCCGAGCCATCGGAGCCGTCGTCGGAGTTGCTGGCCAGGGCAGCCATCCCGCCCATATCCATTCCGTGCGCGGGCTCCTTGTACAGCTTCAGTTCTGTGTAGGTCTTGGATAGCTTGTCCTGGCTATGGGGCTGCCCCTGTCCCTGCCCCGGCTGTTGCTGCTGCTGCTGATGCTGGAATGCCGGATGCATCATGGTGAAGTTGGCCGCATCCCCGCTGGCGCTTAAGTCGCTGCCCGCATGGGAGTCCTTTCCGGCTGAGAGATTCTCGGCCGTTTGGCTCGGCGGACGATTGCTGCCACTTCCTGACTGCGCTCCTGCACCGGCCAAGACGGGAGGCGTGCCCAGGCTGAGGCAGCGCATCCGCCAGGCATCCTGGAGTAGCTGCAGGCGCGCCTGCTTCCGCCATTTGGCGCGACGATTCTGGAACCACACCTGAGGGATACATGGGAGGTTAAACAATAATACTCGGTAATCCTAATATTGTTCTCAAGGATCCTACAAAATCCCTGTAAGAAAATCCCATGAAATCTTGATAGACTGGACCTCTACACAATTGAATCTGCTCTATTATTAGGAATAGTGCTAAAATAATTAACTTTTTCTCGGATCCAAAAAGATAATGTAATAAAAACGTGAATGAAGATCATTTATGGAGAAAATTGCTTTCTCGTAATCTTTATGAAAGTGAATGTACTTATATATGTATGAGGGTGCTCCCTCTCCATGAAGGCAAGTGCTTAGGGATTCTTCTGACATTTCGTAGGATAGGACAACATTATTGGGAGGTTCATTCACCTGAACACGCGCCTCGCTGAGACTGATCCTCAGGGCCACCTCCTCGCGCAGAAACACATCGGGATAGTGGGTCTTCTGGAAGAGGGCCTCCAGCTCCTGCAGCTGTTGCGGCGTGAATGTGGTTCGGTTCCGTCGCTGCCGCCTCCGTCCGAACATGTACTCTGTGAGCAGATCGCCGGGCAACGGCGATATGAATGGTCCAGCCATAGTTTAGTGATTTTTCGGAATACTTTCTTTTTTTGGTTTTTGGACTTTTGGATTTTGGCTGGGGTTCCGGAGAGTCTCTTCTTGATTCTCTTTTGGGTTTTTGATGGGTTTTTGGGACCTTTTTCCACAAACGCGGCACTCAGGTGAAAAAAATTTGATGCGAGGACGCACAGTAGTTCAAACTCCCGCCAGTGGGCGACACAACAACAACAACAACAACAGCAACAAAAAACGGTAACGGCAATTAATCGAGAAAGAGAGGGAGAGAGTGAGAGAGATTTGAAGGAGTCGGCTGTGTATTCTGCTGAACGTTTGGGCAGCGACTGTTGAAATGCAGTCGGTGGTCTGTGGCTTTTATGAAGCAGAGCAGCGAATGGAACCGGCAGAAGCAGAGGCAGAGGCAGAGGCAGCGACAGGACTCTAGCTAATCTTTGTGTGTGTGTGTGTGTGTGTGTGTGTGTGTGTGTGGCGGTTCGATGGTGCGCCTGCGACTCTTCGTTGCATTTGTAGTTGTGATAATTAAGAGAGCTTTCCCCCGAGCCCCCGAGCCCCCCAGCCACAACTAATTATGTTTGCCATCTCTCTCTCTCGTAAAACACTTGAAACTTCTTCAGAAAAGAAAACTAATTAGAGCGGCATCCTCTTTCTCTTTCTCTCTCTCTCTCGCTCTGGCTCTCTTCAGGTGTGCCAATTAAAATGCGTTTAACGGGATTGCTTGAATGCAATTAACATTTGGGCCTCACATCTCTCTCGCTCTCCGGCTCCCTGGCTGCCCGCACCCACGCCACCACCCACACCGTCATTGCTATCTCCCTCTGGCCTGGGACACGCTGCGCAGCCTCCGAACCAAAAGCTCGCTCATTCGCTCGTTCGTGTTCATTCGGCTGCTGCTCTCCTCTTGTTTCTGTGACTGCGTCGGGGGTTTATTGTTTTCTCGTTTTGACTTCGTTAAAATTACGGCACAAGCACAAAAACCTCATAAGCGTTGTTCCGCTATCTGTGTGTGTGTGAGTTTGTGTGTGTGTCTGTGTGGGAAGAGAAGGAAAGTCCTGTGTGCAGCGGACGTCGTGCTGTTTCATTAGATGAGTTCTGTGCCATGCACCGTGTCCTTAGGATCAATGAAAAGTGGCAGCATGCCAAAGATATCCGACAGTTTTGGGAAACAGGAGAAATGAATGCCAGAATGTTGGAAACCTTCTGTAGAATAAGCTATATAAAGGCATTTCGGGGTCCAATACAGTACAAATGGCTATACCTGTTTTGGTCCGTTTTGGGCGAGCAATAAAATGTAATGAGATTGATGATTGATAAATCCCAGCGAATCGATTTGGTACGATCGATCTGCAGGGCTGGACTTTGTTGTTGAACTTTCAAGCTCCCAGGCACAGCCGACCGTGGGCACATACGAGTACAACCGAACCATAAAAGTATATTTACCCTTGCCTTGCTCCACTGTGGCGCCTCCCCACCTCCCATCCAAAGTTGTCTTTGTGTTTGGAATGTTGTACCTGTGAATAATAAAATTCAAATCACTTAATGCTACAAGCTGCGGCAGTGGCAGTGCCAGCACCAGTGCTAGAGAGAGAGAGAAAGAGAGAAAGAGAGAAAGAGAGAGACAGGCTTCGGCACTGACGTCGGCAGCAGAACAATAAGGCAACACCCTGTGGCACAGAGGTGGAGTGGCGATGAGAGGGTGGTATGGGGCATAAGAAAATGAGGTTGCCACCACAGCTGATGATGATTATGATAGCAACAGCACCAGCACCAGCAGCAGAGGGAGTAGCGAAACAATGCAAGCACATCCTTGTCTCTTTTTCTCTGTCTGCGTCTCTCTCTGTGTGTGTGTGTGTGTGTGTGTGTGTTAAACAAATGAAGGGATGTAATTTTCTCATTTGCATTTGCATTGTATTGTGTTGTGTTGTGTTCCGGCTCCGGCTCCGGCCCCCATGCCACCTGCCACCTGCCACTGCCACACGCTTTTCCGTTTTACTTTTTGCGCTGCGCTTGCGCTGGAAATTATATTTATTTATTATTTATGAAGAATAGGCGTGGCACTCCTTCCCCACCCCACCCCGACTTACCCCACCATCCACCACCACCTTCGCTTCGCTTCGCTTCGCTGTTTTTGTGTGCGCTTTATTTCATTTTCATTTTTTTCTTTTTGCGCCGAAGCCAATCATAAGCGAGACCAGATGATGTCCTTGTCTCTGTGTGTCTTTGTGTGGGTGGGTGGCTTGTCTCTCTGTGTGTGCGTGTGTGCGTGTGTGCGTGAGTGTGAGAGGGTTGACCAGGGATAACAAGCAGAACAGGAGCGGGGGCGCTGACAGCGTTGACGAGCGACGACGACCAGCCAGGGAGCGTTGACAGGTTCATTGAAATTATGAAAAAGGGATTACAAAAAAAGCCGGGCTTCTACTTTATGTAGATATCCACTACTTCGAAGTTATAGAAGTGATATTTGATGATCTTGTTGCGGATATCTTAAGCAAATTTATGGATACTGTCAAGACGGTAAGACACCAACTTCAATTGGATAACAAGGGAACTTCAATAAGGAATTGGATAGCTCTAAACGCCCAGCATAAATATATGGATAGTTACTATTTTTCCTACTCTTCGGACGGTAAATAATATCAGCTGTCCTCCCATGAAACGGATTTGAATGTTCTGTAAAAAAACACGTATTTTTTAAATACTTTTACTGTTTTAAATAATCCAATAAACACTACAAGTTAGTAAAAAGTATTTCCATATAGTTCCATATAGCCTTCATATTATTACTCATTTGACCAATTGACACAAGTATAATCTCATTAACTATAAAGTGAATACCACCTACCAAAAAATTAAGTTTTATAATATATATATTATATAATATATTAGCACAAAAAACTGATTTTTTTCAGTATATGTAGAGGTTTTGAATCAATTCGCAAAGTCGTGCATTTTTATAAGCCAAGCTCAAAGTCCACTTCTGTTTTTGGCAACGTCTCGTCGAGGTTCATACTTCGGCTTATGTCTTGAAAGGCTGGACATTTTTGTACAATCTACGATATACAATACGAAAGTTCTGCAATTTAATATTTGTTCGTATAAAGAGTCGTCGTTCGTGTCCCGCTCTAGCACTTTCTTCAGCGTGTTCCCTCCTAATAGATTACTTTTTTGGTACAGTCCCCTGCTGTTAACTAACTTGAGTACCTTTTGTAATCCCATATATATTAATATAAATATATTTTGGCATTATTTTTGACTGTTCTTTTAGCCCCCTCTTCTCTGTCCCTCTACTGGTCGTTGCTTTGCTTCACTGCCTCTTTGTTTCTGTGTGTTTTCTCTTGTTCTTTGGTCTCGCTTCCTGGCATTGCCTCAGCGCCATTTTTAATTTTGTAATTTGATGCTGTCTCTCTGTTGTTGGAATTCATTAGGCAACGCGTTTTCCACCTGAGCATAGGAGTGGGGGAGACAGTGGCGGGGTGGAGTTATCCCCCCACACCCCAGCGGCTGCTTAAATCACCCATCTTCCACCCACTCGGTGCTCTATTCTTTTCCATTCCCATTCCCATTCCTTCATTCGCTCTCACTCGCTCGCTGTGCGCACGAGTATGTGTGGGTCCATTGTTTTGTCGCGCTGATTGGTCTTTCACTAGCTTCCTGTACATGTGTGTGTGTGTGTGTGGCTGTGACTGTTTGAGGAGTGTGGCTGTTTGTTTGTGTATGTGTGTGCTCCATTGTTTAAGCCCTGTCTCGCTCTAGCATTTTGCTGCCGCTGTTAATTATTTATTTTAGCGCGCTCTTCCCCTGCCTACCCCGACCCGTGGTGTCCCATTACTGCCCTTCCCCCCTCCTTTCCATTGTTGCTTTTTATTTAAGATTTTTTTGATTTAATATGCCTCTCTGCGCCCGAAATACAAAACAAAATGGCGTCTACCGGGCATCATCCGGTGCATAATCATGTGCCGCCCCAAAGTAGGCAATGTTTTTTTTTGTATTTTCTGCTATTGATATTACATACTGCACATATTATCTGTGGTAAATGTTTATTGAATTAAGTCTGATGGCTGATGGACATCTTTTTGTGGAATACATCGGGTTTTTTTTTCTAAGAAAAATACTAGTTTACGATATACTAAACAAAAAATCAAACATTCCATAGATTTGGCGGTTTTGAAGTCAACAAAAAGTATAGTAAAAAGTATCGTGTTACTCAGAGGTTATATCTTTTATTTTATTTTTGTTATTTATTATTTGTATCTCTCGATATTAGACTCATAATATCAATAGGTCCACCAGATCTACGATTATCATATTTTTATTTATTTATTAACAATTATTATATAGATAATAATAATATATACATATAAACTGATAACCACAGGAGAGAGAGAGAAAAGAAGAAAGAAATATGAATTTTTGGGAATATTTCTTGGGATATTTGCTGGTATATTTTCTGGTATATTTTCTGATCTTCCGGAACTCGAATTTCATTGAGTTCTACCACAGACCTAACATACATATTTCCCCAACGACCGAAAGCCTTACCATTTTGAAGATTCATTTAAAAATCTATTGGTATGATGCGGAAGCGGATAGATATCCATCCCACTGACGGAACGGATGATGGATGTTCCCGAACTTTTACCCAGCCCTACAATCGTTCAAGCGACAAACAAAAAGCAAACAATGAAATTTTGCTGTTTCGTTGCTTCTGTGGGAGAATGATTGTCGCGTCAAAAAGATTTTTGCTCTGTGGGCAGTGGGATGTGGGCTGTGGTTCGTGAGATGTGGGAATGGTTCGGGGTTCTGGGGTTCTGGGGTTCTGATGTTGTTCTGCCGCCAAAGACGCTAGTTAATTGGAATTTTTAATTATGATTTGTCAATGCAATGGGGGAAAAAAGGCGAAACAAAAACGGGAAAGGAATAGAATGGAAAGGAGAACAAAACATAGCGAAGCCCAAGCCCAAGCCCAGAATATGCCGCATATCCTGGCACGGTGGCACGCATAAAACTAGGCGGCCGGGCCGGGCCGGGCCGGGCCAACCATCACTATATTTTTTTTTCTCATCTGCATCTCTGTTGCATTTTGTAATCATTTTAATTGCCCCAATAATGAGTACAGCTCTCCCCTGCCAGGGTCCCTGCCTCTGCCTCCAAAGGCTGCCTCTTGGCACCAGTCTCGCTTATGAAAATCATTAAGTTAATTACATTTTTTGCACGCGCCCAAATGCAACAACACGAGCGGGAGAGAAACAGAAGCAGAAGCAGAACCATAAACAGAGGCACAGAAAGAGAGGCAGATGGAGGGGCAAAGAA